AGAGGGTCGACCAAGTCCCCCAGTATGTCTGCCTGTGTGTGAGCGTTTGTTTTTGTGGTTTGTAGCATCCATGGTTTATAGGTGTGCGTCAGTTTGTGTTTTATATGTTTGTAAGTATGTATATGCGAGATTGTGTGTGTGTGTGCGTTTGTATCTGTATGTCATGTGTGTGTGTTTGTTGTTTTAAGAGATGTTAGGATACGGTTGTGTTTTGTGAGTTATTTTGAGCGTAAACGTTATCTTAATGTACTCACATATTTACACAAAGCAGCTTACACACACACACAGAGCTTAACTTATGTTGCTTAATACCTTTCATTGTTAGAGCTAGATTGGGTCTCGCTCTCATCTTATGTCAAAAGAGGAAAGGGGGGAGGAAGGAGGGTTATGGGTAGGAAGGGAAGAGATGGAGGGGAGGAAGAGGAGAGCTGGAGCGGAAGGGTCGAGGAGGAGAGGAAGGGGAGGGGGAGGTAGTAAAGGAAAAAAAAACACTAATCAGCACCTGAACACGTTCCCATTAATGCTCAGCTTGTGGTATTGACCCTATGTCGATTATCGCCGTTCCTATAACACCCTGGGAGAGAGTCTATAACTACAGCTAAACGGAACTCTCCACGCCTTTCCGGGTATGGCAGGCGGTGATTGGTCTGTCTCCACCATGGCGAACCGTGATTAGTGCTTAGCTATAATGCTGTGTGCTGATTGGTTCTCGGGCCCCATAATGATGTCCAGTGATTGGTCTTTGGCCTGCATGACGTAAGCTGTGTCTCTGTAACAATAGTAATAAATAAATAAGTAAACAAAAGCACAAATGAATGATTAAATAGATAAAGAGACAAAAAAATTCTCAGTGAGCAAATCAGTACAGGCTCCCCCTCTGGGTTTTGGCACGAAAATACGGTAGTCAGGGAAGTTAATGAGCTTCGATAGCTGATTTTTCGCTTATTCATCTATTTACTTACTTATTTATTGGGAGATGGTGAGGTGAGGGATGTGTCAGGGTGAGGGGGTGGCAAGGAGGGGATGACAGGGTGAGGGAGGTGTCAGGGTGAGGGGGTGGCAAGGAGGGGATGACAGGGTGAGGGAGGTGTCAGGGTGAGGGGTGGCAAGGAGGATGGAGGTGTCAGGGTGAGGAGGAGGGATGACAGGGTGAGGGAGGTGTCAGGGTGAGGGGGTGGCAAGGAGGGGATGACAGGGTGAGGGAGGTTGCAGGGAAGGTAGGTCATCAGAGTAATGGCGGCTGGAGGGGGGTCAAGGCTAGAGTTTCATGCTGTAATTACTTGATTGATTGACCTGTGGAGTGACATTCTGTGGCTAATTAGTCTCAGAGGATAGCTAGTGGAGGGATAGTAGTGGTCATCAGGGTATTGGAGGTACAGGAGTTGTGTTTCGTATTTTATTATGTTTCAAGTTACAATTCCCTCGGGCGACGTTCACCTGTGTGTGTGTGTGTGCATTCTAGCGTTCATTTTGGATTGATTTTGTGGGGTGTATTCTAGCGTCTCGACTAGATTGATTTTTGGGGTACGTTCTAGCGCTTAGATTCGAATGACTTCTACGATAAGTCCTGTACCAGTGGTTCGATTTGTCTTGATGCCCTGATTGCGTTCTAGCGTTCGTGTTGAGCGCTCCATCGAAATTTTTCTTTCATTTTGACGCGCGTTCTAGCGTGAGGGCCGCTAATGGCTGTACCTGTATTGAGAGAACCGAGTATGCATTCGGCTGCGTTTGCAATAATTTCTACTCTTCAGTTCTTATCTTCTGTTTGTATATCATTTGTTTGTTTTTTTATGTTTGTTTTCCTGCTATCATCCTATTTATTCACATTGTTTATTTTCACCAATATTGCCCCTTTTTCTTCGTATTACTATTATTATTATTATTTTACCGACCTGAGTACTTAAAATATAATCGCATTTATAAAGAGAAAGAGAATATCATGTTACCTCAGAAAACTTTTGCATATTTTCTGAACCTCTGAAAAGGTGTGTGTTGACGAGTAGAGACAACCAGTGCTGTGAAATACTTAGAACGTCTTCCTTCCCTTCTGTGTATCTTGTGAGGCAGCTGGAAGATGGCACCAGGAATTTCACAACTGAAGACCCACAAAAAGAGCGAGCAACGCTTTTTTGATGGCTGAGGAAAGGTGTCACTGAGGTGTATGAGAGAGGAGGGAAGCAGGCAGAGAGGAAGGTATGGAGATGTGTAGAGAGAGACGGAGGGAGTTTTAAGTGGGTTCAACTAACTCGTCTCAGCTCCGGCCCATGGTTTAGTTTCTTGACTCTCACTTAACGAGAATAATGCCATTCCCAACTGGCTCACTTTATGCTTAACCCTTTGAATAATATGCAAATAAATGACATTCAAATTACACTGAGATCTACCTTAGTTAGATATACGTTCATTTTCCATCAGTTATGAGAGAAAATTCACTTATAGAATCTTTGTTATGTTCTCTGGTTCTGAAAGGTTCGTAAGTCTGTTTTCATCCCGGAAGTGGAGACAAGAGAACGCACCTGGTACGTTTGAGGCTTTTAGAGTGTAGTTTTTGCCTCTATTTCGACGGCCGTGTTTATGTCGAAGCTAAAGTGACATTAACAGCGTTAGGAACCTGTGAGGACCCGGATGTGTTGATACCCCGAGGAGGTCACACTTGCACGGACCATTTATCCCTGACCACGAATTATGGACCACAGACCGAGTATTAGGAACCCTTCTAATAAACCTCCTGACAGAGATTATAGGTCCCCCTTTAATAGACATCCAGACACACAGACAGACAATCAATCACATAGTACATAACAAAATCGCACCCGTCAACACCTCTGCCTATACTTGTGATCGGCCCTCAGGAACCAGACAAATTCTCCTTTCACAAACACCACCACCACCAGAGTTCTTAGAATAGAGTTGCGTGTTTATTATACCCTCCCGGCCACAGCTGTCAACTGTTTGACAGCTGACTCGTGTTGCGTCAGCCTCACCAAGTTACTCTGGCATGCCTGTCAAAAGTTACGACACTGATGCCAGTGATCCTACCTAGACGTCTCCCCCCCCCCCCGCATACTATAAATAAAACCAGCGCCATAACGAGCACTCATTATCGCCTGGCGTTTACCTACACTTTGAAATAGGATGGCTGTGGGTTTTTATGATTGACGAGCGTTCTAATTCCTGCAGTGGCGATGTTTTGAGGTATGGGAATGAGTTTTAAAAGAATTATATCTTCAGTCGACGGATAGTACGCGTCTTGGGGGGGGGGGGTTCTGAGGCCACCATTCTTACCCCATCTTACTGCCTCGAAGGACTGAGCTGTGACAGGGAAGTGGATGAATCTGACCAGTACTGAAATATAAAACCCACGTGTGTTCGGGAATAACGTGAGAAGTGAGGGAGAGAGGAGGGAAGAGGAGGATGTATGAAGATAAAGAGATAAAGAGAGGTTAACGGGAGAGAAAATTGAGGAGGAGGAGGGAGAGAGGTGTGAGGTTTGAACATCCACACTACCGATAATGACAAGGTGGCGACGCCCCGCCCACCTCTCTCTCTCACGGTGAGGGAAGTTAGTAATGGTGGTGAAGGGTAACACTCAACTAATGCTGAGAGTGATGATGAATTAGAAGTGAGAGTGGCAGGAACACACCAACTGCTGTCACACCTCTCACTGTCACACCTCTCACTGTCACACCTCTCACTGTCACACCTCTCACTGTCGCACCTCTCACTGTCACACCTCTCACTGTCACACCTCTCACTGTCGCACCTCTCACTGTCGTACCTCTCCCTCACATACCTGTCGTACCTCTCCCTCACACACCTGTCGTACCTCTCCCTCACACACCTGCCGTACCTCTCCCTCACACACCTGTCGTTCCTCTCCCTCACACACCTGTCGTACCTCTCCCTCACACACCTGTCGTACCTCTCCCTCACACACCTGTCGTACCTCTCCCTCACACACCTGTCGTACCTCTCCCTCACACACCTGTCGTACCTCTCCCTCACACTCTCGTCGCACCTCTCCCAGTTCTTATCATTAAGGGGTTCGTGTGGGTCTGTTCTTAGGAATCGTCGAGAATATTAATCATGAGTTCAGTCACCATGAGAGGGATGCAAAAAAGTTCTTTCAGTCAGTTAGTCAGTTTGTTACTTAGTCAAATAGTCAGCAAGTCAATTCATTCAGTTTCAATTACTAGGTCAGTCAATAAATTTTATATATATATATTCATTTGAGAAGTCACATAGTCAGTTAGTACATAAGTCAGTGAGTGAGTGAGTCAGTCGGTCAGGATCAGCATTCATAGAGCTGAAGGACGTAGCTAATGAAACATGGTGGAGTTATCGATGTTCGTCCTCCTCGATGATTGATAATGTTTTAATAGACCCTCCCTCCCTCCCTCCCTCCCTCCCTCTCTCTCTCTCTCTCTGGGTTATGGATTTATCGGGAGGGAAGGATGGAGAGATGGGAAGAGGGTGAGCAGGGAAGGAGTGGAGGGAGGCGTGGAAAGGGAGGGAGGCATGAGAGGAAGGAAAGGAGGGAGGCAGAGAGGAAGGAAAGGAGGGAGGCAGAGAGGAAGGAAAGGAGGGAGGCAGAGAGGAAGGAAAGGAGGGAGGCAGAGAGGAAGGAAAGGAGGGAGGCAGAGAGGAAGGAAATCCCTTTACCCTTAAATAAACCCTAATAACTCACCTTATTTACCATTAACTCTCAAACACCCTAATTAAATCCTAAATACTTATTTCAAACCCTAAAATATTTCTTTCATTCCCTAAATTAGTTCCTTCATCCCCTAAAATACTTCTCATTCCCTAAAATACTTCTTTCATTCTCTAAAATACTTTCTTCATTCCTTAAAGTACTTTCTTCAACCTCCTAAAACACCTCTTTCATTTCCTAAAATAGTTCATTCAACCCCCTAACATACTTCTTTCAACCACTATATACCACCTAAAAACACCACCATCACCACCTTCTCTCTAACCCCTGTTTGGTCTCCCGGCAGAGTGGAGAGAACGGGTTCCTATCTCCTGGGAGTCTCCGCAACTCTCTCGCTGACGACACCTGTTCGGAGATACTTCGCCTTGAGCAGCGGGAGGACGAGGAACAGAAGAAGAGCGCCTTTGCCAAGCTTGTCTCCACTCTTCAGGTGAGTCTAGGTGGTTGGTGGTGGTTGTGGTGGTATGTGTTGGTGGTGATAGTGGTTATGGTGGGGATAATGGTGGGGGGCGTTCGTGTTCGTGGTGGCGGTGAAGGGAAGAGTAAGGAGAGGGAGAAGTTGAAAGACCAAATTGAGGGTAGGAGGTGAGGAGAAGACATGAAGACCAGCTAGCAGAGACGATGAGGGCGTGGGAGTCCTACAATATCCTTATTGATCGATGATACAAGTACGGATGCAGGTCATCAACTCCTCAGGTCAACACAGCCATTGGTCACCAGCCGGCCCGAGTCCCTTCTTGGGGGAGGTGGAAATGGAGGAAGAGGAGGGAGGGTAGGGGAGATGGAGGAAGAGGAGGGAGGGTAGGGGAGATGGAGGAAGAGGAGGGAGAGGAAGCAAGAAGAAACGGGAATGAATCTCTCCCTCCTATCCCCCTTCCCCTTCCCTCCCTCCTATCCCCCTACCCCTTCCCTCCTCACCCCCTGTTAGTGTCGATGCTGAGGTTAATGTCAGTGTGAATGTGTGACTGAGCAGTGACTGTTCCTCCTCCTCTTCCTCCTCCTCTTCTTCCTCCTCCTCCTCTTTTACCTCCTTCTCTTCTTCCTCTTCCTCCTCGGTAATCGTCTCGACATTTAAAATTCTGGAATAGGTCAGTGATGAGTTAATGACGGTGATCAGCACTTTGATGCTTGACACTCCTGGCACTACACTTGACACTCCTGGCACTACACTTGACACTCCTGGCACTACACTTGACACTCCTGGCACTACACTTGACACTCCTGGCACTACACTTGACACTCCTGGCACTACACTTGACACTCCTGGCACTACACTTGACACTCCTGGCACTACACATGACACTGCTCGCATACACTTGACACTCCCGACACTTGACACTCTGGCTGTTCACACTTGACACTCTTGACACTGTTTGCATGTGACACGGTCTCTTTCCTCGTGCAGTGGTGAAAAATATATTCGATTTTTTATTCTCCTTACTTTAATTTTTCTGTTACTTGCTTCTTCCTTTTATTTGCTTCTTCTTCCTGTTACTTGTTTCTTCTTCCTGTTACTTGTTTCTTCTTCCTGTTACTTGTTTCTTCTTCCTGTTACTTGTTTCTTCTTCCTGTTACTTGTTTCTTCTTCCTGTTACTTGTTTCTTCTTCCTGTTACTTGTTTCTTCTTCCTGTTACTTGTTTCTTCTTCCTTTTACTTGTTTCTTCTTCCTGTTACTTGTTTCTTCTTCCTATTACTTGTTTCTTCTTCCTGCCACTTGCTTCTTCTTCCTTCATATTATTTGCTAGTTCTCTATCCCTTCATCTCTTTCTCCTATTTTTCTTCCCCCTTTTCTCTTAATTTTCTTCCTCTCTTTTCTCTGTTTTTTTTTTCTCTCTCCTTTTTCTTTCTCGCTTTGTATTGGTTTCACGGTACATTAATCTTGCTAGAGGAATGTGTGTGTGTGTGTGTGTGTGTGTGTGTGTGTGTGTGTGTGTGTGTGTATGTGTGTGTGTGTGTGTGTGTGTGTGTGTGAGGAATATTGATTGTTTTTTTAATGAAGTTCTATCTGATTGTTGTTTCTGTTTGTATATGATATCTTTTCCTCTCGTTTATTGTGTTTTATTATAATTAAGTAATTTATGTCTCTTCTCTTATTTAATCAGTTTATTTCATGTTCTCCAAACCGTCCTCATTGCTCTTCCCCAGCTAACACTACTCTCTGTTATCTCTTCCCCAGTTAACACTTCTCTCAGTTGTCTCTTCCCCAGCTAACACCTCCACCAGGTAGCACGCCCTAGCCAGCAGATGGTCCCCAGTTGACACCTACTTCCCACTTCCCCAGCTAATGTCTCCTCAGCTAACACTCTCCAGCTAACAGTGTCTTGCGTCCCACAGCTTTTACGGTTGTGGGCTACGGGGAAGCATCAGGAGGAGCAAGAGAGACCCGACAGTTTTTTGGAGAAGATGGCCATGGCCGGGCAGGTGCGTGAGGCTGATGATACCACACACACCGTCTGCTGCGGCGCCCTCAGGGGGTACTTCGCCATCGACACAACCAAACCTGCCCACTACAAGGTGAATCTCTCTCTCTCTCTCTCTCAACTCTGTAAATGAACCTCCTCCAACCATCTTTTTTAATCTATTGTAAGAGAGCCAATCCTGTCATGGTGAGTCAAGGAGGATTTCATATCTAGACGTAAGCAAGACGCTTTGTTTCCCATGCCAGAGACACCTTTCTAAACCTGTTTCACCTGCACCGCTCTAAATTGTCTTTATAATCATGAGAATTTTAAGGCAGCCACAATAAGCCAAGCCCTCTTTATCTGTAGCTAAAGTCGTTTCATTATACGGGGAGTTAACTTACCAACCTCTCACAGCATAGATGAGTCAAACTCTTAAGTGTGAGCTAAATGGTCCTCCCTGGAGTGAGATACGATACTCGGAAGAAACCCGAGCCCAGGAGTTACTGTCAGAGCTAGATCAAGATAGGACTACTTTGTCTTACCCTTATTTTACCACGATAAACAAAACATCATTCATCTACCTTGAACATCCACTGAACCTCGACTAATCTTAAGAGGTTGAGACTCCAACTTTGAGGTGTTATCCACTGTATTATTTTCTCGGTGGGAGCTTTTCCAATATCCGAAGAAAGTTCATTCGATGGAATTTTGTTGGCTTCTTAATTCCCTTCTTCGCCCTCTTAGTCCTTCCCCTCGCCCCTCAAGTCTTCCTCCTCACATCTCAAGTCCTTCTCCCCCTCGCCTCTCAAGTCCTTCTCCTCACATCTCAAGTCCTTCTCCCCCTCGTCCCTCAAGTCCTTCTCCTCCTCGCCCCTCAAGTCCTCCTCCTTGCCCCCTAAGTCCTCCTCCTCCTCCTCCTCCTCCTAGCCCCTTAAGTCTATCTTGCCTCTCAAGTTCCTTCTCCTTGCCACTCAAGTCCTCCTCCTCGCCACTCAAGTCCTCCTCCTCCTCCTTGCCCCTCGAGTCCTCCTCTCCTCTGGGTTGCTATGCTAACAGGATCACCTTGTCTCACATTACTTTCACCGTCTACATCATTCCTGTCAGCTTAAAAACGTTAAGTGGCTTACTTCCTTTTTCTTCCACCGTTCCTAGCGACCTCTATGCTCAGGAAAGGTAAAAAAAATGCAAAGGTAAAAATTCATGGAGTCAGGTCAGCGAGCGTGACCCTGACCATGTCAATTAATAAACAACAACAACAACAACAACAACAACAACAACAACAACAACAACAACAACAACAACAAAAATAATAATAATAATAATAATAATAATAATAATAATAATAATAATAGTAATAATAATAATTATTATTATTATGATGATATTTACTCAGTAAAATTCTTATAAAGGTTTACAATTGGATAACCATGTATTAATATAGTCTCTGCAGTTACAGTATACATTTCAACACGAATATACACAATGTACAGCTGAAGGTATGGGGTATATGGTGTTCGTTGACCGTGGGATTACTGTATAGTACAGTATGCAGTTTTCTGTATGCCTAGACAGTGCAAGTAAACAACAATTGTAAACAGTAAGGCGATTTGACCAAGGATGGCCGAATAAGGTGCCAGGTGCTTATGCTTGGTCTCTAATAAGTAATAGTATGTCTATAGGATTAATATTTTATTTATTTATTTTTTTAGTTCAACAAGTATTACTGTACATTGCACTTGGGCTATCCAAGGTGGGTGGGTCATTTCAACAATACAGTACAACATTCTGTGGCAAATAATATAGAAACTCACTCTTTTCTCTTGCTGTAGCTTCATCTGTTATGCATTGTTTAGTTTTAGCTTTGAACTGTTTAATACCATTACTGGTTTTGATGTGGTCAGGTAACTTGTTCCAGTTTGTTATAGCTATAAAGAAGAAAGTGTTTTTTGCTTGACCGCAGACACCAGGTACCATAAAATTAAGTTCACTCCCTCTAGATCCCTGCTGGTTTATATCCTTAATCCTTACAACGTTTGGTGTTAGAGATACTGGGCACAATATTTGACTGAAGAACTTCGTGACCAATGTGAACACTTGCTTTCATACCAAGAATGAACGTCCTCACTTTGTTTTGAACAATTTGTAGCTTGGAATTTAGCTTCTGTGTTAGGCAGAAGACCATGACAAGCAGGAATAGCCCAAGTGACATTGTATGAGCGCCAAGCAAATGAGCCTACGGGCATCAGCTGAGAGGCATTTAGCATTTCTGTAGATAAATTTTTATTTGAGAACGTCTTAGCAGTCTAAATACTGTATATAATTTTATGTGGTGGGTGTTATGGAACATAAGAAGGATTGTTAAATGTTACACAACATGCAAAAGTAAAGCAAGAAGGAATGCTTGTTTTAGTAAACAAATAAAATTGCTATACGGTATAATACAGTATTTCACTTGCACAAGATTATAAGTTTCACCAAGTAAAATATACTGGAGTTGACAATCCTAGTAATATCTAAATAGCAGACAAATTCAGACACAATACAACAACAAACATGGTGGTACTCAGACGCACCAATAAACACCATATTCAATACATATATTGATGCCTCATTAAAGATACAAATAAGAACTTAGCTATGTGATGACCATTGTGGTCGGTAAGGGGATGGAACCCTCAACATCCGTGCTATTAGTAAGCCTTTTGTGTTAATCCGCCTCTTTTTTTTTATGGCCACGTCGTGTTACTGTATCCAATACCCTATTAATGTCTTGCTCATCAAATCTCCCTCACTCAACAACCCTGCCATGTACAGTGGTTGTTCGTGATGACGGCGGCGTTGCTGTACAACTGGGTGATGATCATCGGACGGGCAGTTTTCTGGGAGCTACATAACCTCAGTCCTGCTCTCTGGCTCTCACTAGACTACATCTGTGACAGCGTCTACCTCATTGACATGATCATCCGTGCCCACGAAGGTGTGAAAATTAAAACCAGTTGTAATGATATAAATAACAAAAGTCACTCTTTTGCCTGTCCATGCTATCACTACACATCTCCTTTTATGGTTTCTGGCACTAGTGACCCACACACTTCCTCCTACAGGCTACCTGGAGCAGGGCCTCATGGTGAAGGATCCCTCCAAGTTGAGAAAAAACTACGTGAAGTCATGGACGTTCAGACTGGACTTGGTCTCTATTTTCCCTACTGACCTCCTCTACCTGGCAACAGGCACCAACTGTGATACCCACGTGCCCTGTCCTGTACTTGTTAGGTTCAACAGGCTATTAAGGTAAGAATCTCAGGCCTAAGGAGAGAGGGTTAAGGATGTTGGAATGGGAAAGGAAGAAGGAAATTAAGTAAGGGAGAGGGGAAAGGGAAGAAAGTAAACGTAGAGGAAGACAGCAGGAAATATGTGGAAAGTTGTGGTGATAGAATTGAATAGGGTTAGGGTAGATGGGAGAGTATGGAAGGGGAAGAGAAATGAGGTAGGGACACCATATGGGTATGTGTGGGAAGAGTTTGGAAGAAGAGGAACTAATGAGGAGAAAAAGGGAAATTAAAACATTAACCTATGTCTCCCTCTTCCCATGCTTTCTCTCCTACTATCATACATTCATTTTGACCTCCCTCCCTCCCTCCCTCCCTCCCACTCCATATTTCACAACCCCTCCCTAACCCAACTATTCCTTCCCTCCAGAATCCCGAGGATGGGGGAGTTTTTTGACAAGACGGAGACTCGCACAAATTTCCCTAACGCCTTCCGCATCTGCAAGGTGGTGCTCTACATCCTGGTCATCATCCACTGGAACGCCTGCTTTTACTTCGCCATCTCCTATGCCATCGGCTTTGGTACTGACGGCTGGGTCTACAAGAACATCACCATAGGGAGGAACGGTACATTCTCCCATCAGTACATCTACAGGTAGGTCAAAGGTTGAGCTTGTTCTCCCATCAGTAGGTCTATATGTGGCTCACAGGTCGAGTTTAATCTAACCCAAACATGGAAAATTCCACGTGATAATTACATCTCAATTTCATCGATTTTGAACACACTTGGGAAATGGTTCACATGATTAAGAAACCCATAAAAGCTCACCCCCTCCACCCACTCACCTCATCCACCTCCACCCACTCACCTCATCCACCTCCACCCACTCACCTCATCCACCTCCACCCACTCACCTCATCCACCTTTCTGTAGCTTCTATTGGTCAACATTAACGCTGACGACGATAGGAGAGACGCCTCAGCCAGAGAAGGATGTGGAGTACCTCTTTGTGGTGGTGGACTTCCTGGTGGGGGTACTCATCTTCGCCACTATCGTCGGGAACGTTGGCTCCATGATCACCAACATGAATGCCGCCAGGGCAGACTTCCAGGTAGGTGCTAAGGGCTGACTTTCAGGGTTGACTTCCTGTTAGTAGGTCAGGATAGTTCCTGGTATGGGGACATTCATTAAGGTAAGATATATCATGTTTTGAGTAAAGTACCTGATCACTTCCAGATACAAAACCTCGACCAACAACGGTCGACTTTAACTTATCAAGTACGAAGACACTTCCAAGTATTGAACAAGGAGTAATTCTCAGGTATAAGGCTCTTTTTGATGCATGACTAGAAACTTGGGCTAGGCTGTCTCCAATTAGTGTTTGGAATCTCGCTATTATTTTCAAATGCTTTATTAAGCTTAGTGTAACTAAAGTTTTGTACAGCATTAATTCATAAAAACAAACCTGATAAAATTAGCAGAAGCAATGATTAATATGTTGTTGCATTGAGGGTTTGTGTATTGACATTATGGAGACCAAACGAAGCAGTGCTGTATAGTGGGATGAAACATGATTTTTTATTTTATTTACAGAACCGCATGGACGGGGTGAAACAGTACATGGAGTTCCGCAAGGTGTCAAAAGACCTGGAGACGAGAGTGATCAAGTGGTTCGACTACCTGTGGAGCAACAAACAGTCGCTTGATGAGGAGGGGGTCAGTGCCTTATTGGGTTTTTTGGATGGAACAGGTGGCTGTAATGTTAAACAGCTGTGGTATTGGTTGGGGGGGGGGGGGGGGGTGGAGGGTAAATTGGTACTATAATAAATTGTTGAGGTAATTTTAGGATTATCTTGAATGATGAGATGCTTTGGTGGTCATTTTGCAAATTCATTATATTGCTGCAATAGTTAGAAGATCTTCTTATTTGTTATTCACCATTGTCACCATTCCTACTCATCATCCTTCATGATCAGTCAGTCACCATTCCCACTCATCATCATATACTGCCCATTAATGTGTAGTTTTGTTTGGATAGGTTGCTGGCAGAGCAAGCCAGGCACTGTGAGTTCGTGTTTTTCATTAATCAAATCGAGAGTAGAAGGAAGGGTGAAACGCTGACCAAGACTTAACTAATTTATTTACTCATAAAAAATATTGCATTCAGTCACAATACAAAAGTAGTTGGCCTTCCCCAAGCAATTATCAAGGTCACTGCAACACACACAAAATACCCGACCTTCTACAAATAATTCATTAAGGTCTTCTCTCTTCATACCAAATCATTGACTTCCTTACCTAGGTCATTCTTTCCTACAATATCACCCAAAAATACTCAAAAGCACCAACATACTATATAGCACCAAATAAAATCCACACATACAGGTACTGAGCTCCTTCGTAGTACCAAGGTATACATGACGGCTACCCGTTTCACATACTACTGTAATGTGATTAAGTACTTACAGAATAACACATTAACATCAAAATCGTACTTTGGAAACCCATAGTTGGCGAGTAATTAGCATTGAAAATTATACTGTAATTAAATTATCCAAGGGTCATTACAATCACTAATTACCCCACAATCGAATCGTGAACCATACATTCGAAGTCAGCATGCTCTGGAGTACTTATACAGGTATTGTGATTTTTAACAAAATCTAATTTTTGGGCCAAAATTGTCGAAAAGGTAAACCTTACCCCTTGGTAATTTTTCCCCCAAAATATACTTTTTTCACAGAATTGAAATTTAAAAGGTTTAACTAATTAAGTACTTACAGAATAACACTTTAACACCAAAAGCGCACTTTAGAAACCCATAGATGGCGAGTACAGAACCTATGGGATTTATTCTAATTGGTACTAAGCACCCAAGACTCAACCCCAATTTTAACATTTTATGACCATTTAGACCAGGGGTGTCAAACTCATGGCCCGCAGGCCAAATGTGGCCCGCGGGATGACGATAAAATTTATCATCCCGTGAAATTATGAAAGAAATACAGTAGATATAATCATGTTTATTTAGTAAAATGAATTTTACATAAGATCAGACAAACCCAAATTAGTAATTAGTGGCTTAAATGACCCTTGAAAGATTTTACTGACATTTTTCAATGCTAACTACTCATCAACTATGGGTTTCCAAGGTGTGATTTAGGGTTTGTGTGTTATTCTGAAAGTACATAATTAGTTAAACCCCTTAAATTTCAATTCTGAGAAAAAGTGTATTTTGGTCAAAAATTAGTGGTTTTTGGCCAAAAATTAGATTTTGCTGAAAATCACAGTATGGGTACTCCTGAGCTTGCTGATTATGACTACGTGGTCCACGATTCGATTGCAGAGTAATTAGTGGCTAAAATGATCCTTGAAATATTTTACTGACATTTTTCAATGCTAATTACTCAACTATGGGTTTCCCAGGTGTGATTTAGGGTTTGTGTGTTATTCTGAAAGTACTTAATTAGTTCAACCCCTTTGATTTGAATTCTGAGAAAAAAGTATATTTTGGTCAAAAATTTTGTAGGGTATAAGACTTACATTTTTGGTGGTTTTTGGCCAAAAATTAGATTTTGCTGAAAATCACAGTATGGGTACTCCTGAGCTTGCTGATTATGACTATGTGGTCCACGATTCGATTGCAGAGTAATTAATGGCCCAAATGACCCTTTGAAATATTTTATTGACATTTTTCAATGCTAATTACTCAACTATGGGTTTCCAATGTGTGATTTAGGGTTTGTGTGTTATTCTGAAAGTACTTAATTAGTTCAATCTCTTAAATTTGAATTTTGAGAAAAAAGTATATTTTGGTCAAAAATTTTGTAGGGTATAAGACTTACATTTTTGGTGGTTTTTGGCCAAAAATTAGATTTTGCTGAAAATCACAGTATGGGTACTTCTGAGCTTGCTGATTATGACTACGTCGTTCACGATTCGATTGCAGAGTAATTAGTGGCCAAAATGTTCCTTGAAATATTTTACTGACATTTTTCAATGCTAATTACTCATCGACTATGGGTTTCCAAGGTGTGATTTAGGGTTTGTGTGTTATTCTGAAAGTACTTTATTAGTTAAACTCCTTAATTTTCAATTCTGAGAAAAAAGTATATTTTGGTCAAAAATTTTGTAGGGTATAAGACTTACATTTTTCTTGGTTTTTGGCCAAAAATTAGATTTTGCTGAAAATCACAGTCTGGGTACTCCTGAACTTGCTGATTATGACTATGTGGTTCACGATTCGATTGCAGAGTAATTAATGGCCAAAATGACCCTTTGAAATATTTTACTGACATTTTTCAATGCTAATTACTCATCGACTATGGGTTTCCAAGGTGTGATTTAGGGTTTGTGTGTTATTCTGAAAGTACTTAATTAGTTCAATCACTTAAATTTGAATTTTGAGAGAAAAGTATATTTTGGTCAAAAATTTTGTAAGGTATAAGACTTACATGTTTGGTGGTTTTTGGCCAAAAATTAGATTTTGCTGAAAATCACAGTATGGGTACTCATGAACTTGCTGATTATGACTACGTCGTTCACGATACGATTGCAGAGTAATTAGTGGCCAAAATGTTCCTTGAAATATTTTACTGACATTTTTCAATGCTAATTACTCATCGACTATGGGTTTCCAAGGTGTGATTTAGGGTTTGTGTGTTATTCTGAAAGTACTTAATTAGTTCAACCCGTTAAATTTGAATTCTGAGAAAAAAGTATATTTTGGTCAAAAATTTTGTAAAGTATAAGGCTTACATTTTGGTGGTTTTTGGCCAAAAATTAGATTTTGCTGAAAATCACAGTATGGGTACTCTTGAACTTGCTGATTATGACTATGTGGTTCACGATTCGATTGCAGAGTAATTAATGGCCAAAATGACCCTTTGAAATATTTTACTGACATTTTTCAATGCTATTTACTCATCGACTATGGGTTTCCAAGGTGTGATTTAGGGTTTGTTTGTTATTCTGAAAGTCCTTAATTAGTTCAATCACTTAAATTTGAATTTTGAGAGAAAAGTATAATTTGGTCAAAAATTTTTTAGGGTATAAGACTTACATTTTTCGTGGTTTTTGGCCAAAAATTAGATTTTGCTGAAAGTCACAGTATGGGTACTCCTGAGCTTTGTAATATATGACTAAGTGGTTCACGATTCGATTGCAGAGTAATTAGTGGCTAAAATGACCCTTGAAATATTTTACTGACATTTTTCAATGCTAATTACTCATCAACTATGGGTTTCCAAGGTGTGATTTAGGGTTTGTGTGTTATTCTGAAAGTACTTAATTAGTTAAAGCCCTTAAATTTCAATTCTGAGAAAAAAGTATATTATGGTCAAAAATTTTGTAAGGTATAAGGCTTACATTTTGGTGGTTTTTGGCCAAAAATTAGATTTTGCTGAAAATCACAGCATGGGTACTCTTGAACTTGCTGATTATGACTATGTGGTTCACGATTCGATTGCAGAGTAATTAATGGCCAAAATGACCCTTTGAATTATTTTACTGACATTTTTCAATGCTAATTACTCAACTATTTGTTACCAAGGTGTTATTTAGGGTTTGTGTGTTATTCTGAAAGTACTTAATTAGTTAAACTCCTTAAATTTCAATGCTGAGAAAAACGTATATTTTGGTCAAAAATTTTGTAAGGTATAAGACTTACATGTTTGGTGGTTTTTGGCCAAAAATTAGATTTTGCTGAAAATCACAGTATTGGTACTCCTCAACTTGCTAATTATGACTATGTGGTTCACGATTCGATTGCAGAGTAATTGGTGGTCAAAATGTTCCTTGAAATATTTTACTGACATTTTTCAATGCTAATTACTCATCGACTATGGGTTTCCAAGGTGTGATTTAGGGTTTGTGTGTTATTCTGAAAGTACTTAATTAGTTCAATCACTTAAATTTCAATTCTGAGAAAAAAGTATATTTTGGTCAAAATTTTTGTAAGGTATAAGACTTACATGTTTGGTGGTTTTTGGCCAAAAATTAGATTTTGCTGAAAATCACAGTATGGGTACTCCTGAACTTGCTGATTATGACTATGTGGTTCACGATTCGATTGCAGAGTAATTAGTAGCCAAAATGACCCTTGAAAGATTTTACTGACATTTTTCAATGCTAATTACTCATCGACTATGGGTTTCCAAGGTGTGATTTAGGGTTTGTGTGTTATTCTGAAAGTACTTAATTAGATAAACCCCTTAAATTTCAATTCTGAGAAAAAAGTATATTTTGGTCAAAAATTTTGTAAAGTATAAGGCTTACATTTTGGTGGTTTTTGGCCAAAAATTAGATTTTGCTGAAAATCACAGTATGTGTACTCCTGAGCTTGCTGATTATGACTATGTGGTCCACGATTCGATTGCAGAGTAATTAGTGGCTAAAATGACACTTGAAAGATTTTACTGACATTTTTCAATGCTAATTACTCATCAACTATGGGTTTCCAAGGTGTGATTTTGAGTTTGTGTGTTATTCTGAAAGTACTTAATTAGTTAAACTCCTTAAATTTCAATTCTGAGAAAACAGTATATTTTGGTCAAAAATTTTATAGGGTATAAGACTTACATTTTTCGTGGTTTTTGGCCAAAAATTAGATTTGGACCCACTAAATATATAGATAATGTTATGGTAAGTATCAGAAAAACACATAGGCATGGCTAGATTTATTTCAGAGTGATGAAAAGGGTACGCTCAATACTGTAGTCCACAAAACCTGTAGCCATGCTTTCTTTATTTGCGTCCCCCATCTGAGGAGTCCGTTTTCTCATTGCTTCAGGACGCCTGAATCCTCCGTTTTCTCTCAATCTTGGAGTGCACTCGAGACTTCGTTATTCCTTAGTAATGACACAGAATTTGAAATTGCAACTGGGGTTGCAATTATTGTGGCATCTTAGATATGTCTGATTACAGCAAATTTGTTATTGTCAATCTGTAGGTGAAAGATTTTATCCTCAATACATGTAGGTGAAGCAAATGGGTAAAAACACCTGGAGGCAACTGCGTGATAACGAAATTGTCGGCTTGAAAAATGCGCTATAACAGCAGGTGTGCAGATTTTGATGCAGGCGTGATAACGAAAATCGCGATAACCAAGGGATGACTGTAATTATCATTGAAAAATATAATTAAAATTTTCAAGGGTCATTACAGCCACTAATTACCCCGCAATCGAATCGAGGACCATATATTCGAAATCAGCATGCTCTGGAGTACCTATACTCTGATTTACAACAAAATCGAATTTTTGGTCCAAAACTGTCGAAAAGGTAATTTTTCGCCCAAAGTATACTTTTTTCACAGAATTGAAATTTAAGGGGTTTAACTAATTAAGTAATTACAGAATAACACATTAACACCAAAATCGTACTTTGGAAACCCATAGTTGGCGAGTAATTAGCATTGAAATATATAATTAAACATTACTTTTTACTTTTATCCTCTTCGCCACTGATCTGCTCGTTTGCCGCTTGGGCGATCGGTCACGTCTCTGATTACTTTTCCTTTTCATTTATTTTCTTCACCAAAAGATCGGCTCACTTGCCGCCCGGGCGATTGGTCACATCTCTGTGACACACTGTTGGCAGGTACTGGGCATGCACTGGCTTCTGAATGCACCTGAACCCGCTCCACTGTTGGTCAAGTCTTGTCTTGAAAGAGCTCACACTCGGTGCCGTCACAACACTTTCTGGCAGATTGTTCCAAGAATTCACAACTCTCACTCCGAAAAAGTTTGCCCTCACAGTTTTTTGGACTTGCGGCTTCTTCAATCTTGAGCTGTGACCCCTTGTGGGGCGAGCGTCCGCCAGCTCCAAGTAAGGACACTCGACTGAGTAGTGCCCCTTGAGATGCTTGTACACCTCAATTATGTCACCCCCTTTGCCCGTCTGTAGTATAAGCTAGGCAAGTTCAGACGCTGCAATTTCTCACGGTAGCTGAGGTGCCGAAGGGCAGGCTCCAGTCTGGTGGCCCTCCTTTGAACATTTTCAACCAACTGACACTCCCTAGCATATCATCATATAGATACCTTGAGTTCTCCTTAATACTATCAGTACACACACTTAATATTATATGCCCGTACAATCAAAGACAAAAGTCGTGTTGCAGTTTTGTCCGAAGATTAAATATAACTCATGAAACATTATGAGAGCCCCCTACCATAAGGCAGAGCGCACCAAAAGTATAGCCCTTCGGCATATGTTTTCACCAAATTTCACGACACGACTTTTGTCTTTCATTGTACATTGGTACAGTTCATATAAAACAACATACAGTATGTGAATTACCCCTTCCAAAAGTTTACCATTTACTGTGACACTCCACTAGTGCGGTGAGTTTGAATGTTGCAGCTGTAATATGAATCAAGAGGGATTATATAGACTAGTACTAATGTACACAGTACAATCACCCTTCTTGATCAATCAGTCACCATTTCCACTCATCATCACCCTTCATGATCAATCAGTCACCATTCCCACTCATCATCACCCTTCATGATCAATCAGTCACCATTCCCACTCATCATCACCCTTCATGATCAATCAATTACAACAAGGCTCACCATCCCCCCACAGGTACTGAAGTCACTGCCAGACAAGCTGAAGGCAGAGATAGCCATCCATGTACATCTGGACACGCTCAAGCAAGTGCGAATCTTCCAAGACTGTGAACCTGGACTGCTGGTTGAACTTGTTCTAAAACTGAAGCTACAGGTATTATTATTATTATTATTATTATTATTATTATTATTATTATTTTAATACTGTACTGTTTAATCCTCATTGAAAACTAAATTGGAAAGCTTCTTTTGTAATTATTCAAAAGTTTGGTTATTTATGTAATCAACACTTGGTCATTGATGACGCCAGGCAACGTTAAGAAATGGGATGGGCTTCCATTATTCACACAGACCAGGGGCCACTTTAACCCACCACGAGTCAAAATGCTTGTTTGATTTTATTTTTTAGTTTTTCATTTCACCTCTAATCAGCTTATAAGCTCGGTCGTCCTGTTCTTCATTAGTACTCTGTTACAACCTTCATTGTCCAGTTTTAGTACAGGATGAAACTAGAGTACCTGGTGAAAACATGCAATGTTTGGTAGTGTTATATAATTTAAAACCCTTCTCACATTTGACCCATGAAATTAATACCTCAACTTCTGTGATGAAAGACAACCTTCTATCTTATGTTATTAATAAAGGAACAGTGAAAAGCTTTAACAGAGGTTGTAATGGACTCTTGAGGTATGTGAAACAGGGAGTGGCAAATACTATGTTGAGACATATGTGCTATTAGTAAGTCTTCACTCTCTCTCACTTTAATCCCACCTTCACTCCCTGACTCTCCCCCATCCACCTTTGCCAGGTGTTCAGCCCTGGGGACTTTGTGTGTCGCAAGGGTGATGTGGGGAAGGAGATGTACATTGTCAAGCGGGGGAAGCTCTCCGTCGTCGCAGATGATGGTAAAACCATCTATGCCACACTCGGGGCAGGCAGTGTCTTTGGTGAGGTACAGTATCTTAATTATTCCAGTGTGCATACCCAGTGAAGAATGATTCTGTAATCAGGTTGTGTGTGTGTGTGTGTGTGTGAAAGAGAATCTAACTGCACCACTTGTGAAGCTAGAACAAAATGTACTTAGAGGAATATGTAGCTTCCAAGTAGAGAAAGGGGAACTTTTGTCCACACTAGGTACAAGGGATCAGCATTCCTTTTATGTTTATGATCATTGCATATGTTTTTGATAAGATTTTGTCCAGATACTGTCCAAGTAAGATTTGTACAGTGTGATGATTTTGATGAAGTTTAGTTATACAGCTCCTCTCTGACTTACAACGGGGTTAGGGATGCAAATCCGGGTCGTAAGTCAAAGTGGCCGTAAGTCGAAAATGCTTAAATAATACATAGAAAATCTAAAATGGGTGTCTCTTTTTCTTCTCAGCACCACAAAACTCTCACTTTTAAGCTTGCCAGTGAATTACAAACGAAAATTTTGTCTGTGTACTGACGCTGGGACTCGAAAATACGTAATTTGACAAAATTTTGGTACGACTGAGGCAGATCGTGAGTGCGGGTGGTCGTAAGTCGAGTAGGTAGTAAGTCAGGGAGGAGCTGTATTATGAGAAGAGTTAACCATATTTTTTATGAAATTTGAAAATGTTACATTAAAAGACTTGATTTTCTCAGTTTCAATTTCCAAAATACACACAAAAAGTTGAACAACAAACAGGTCTTCTTTAGTAACTTATTAAGCATCCTCACGGTATGATAGGTGTCGATCCTGAACATCGCTGGCAACAAGACGGGAAACAGACGGACAGCCAACGTGAGGAGTGTTGGCTATTCTGATTTATTCTGTCTCTCCAAGGATGACCTCTGGGATGCCCTAACAGAGGTTAGTCAGTCTTAACCACTTCCACAGATTATATTCTCAATATATTGAGATAATAGTGTCAACTAATTGTGTTCTGATGCTGATATTTAGTAAAGTGTACATTGTATACCTGCATTGTCTATAAACATGCTGAATCAATGTACAGTCAACCCTCACTTTACGCGGGACCCTCCGGGTTACATTAACCGCGTAAAGTGAGGGTTAATAATTGTGTGAGCATACCATCATAAAATTTAGATGTTATTTTTACTACAACATAGGTATTGTGTCGGAAAAAGTGGAGTTTGGGGGTTGGGCCAGTCTCTATTGGAATTAATCCCATATGTTCTGTTGTTCCATTTACGCGGATTTCACTTTCCGCGGTACCCTGTGGGTTCAATTGATCGCGTAAATCGGGTTACTACTGTACTTATAATTTAAAAAATAAAAAATAAAATAAATAAATATTGAAGTGATAACCGTGGTAACATTATGAGATGTTCTTATTACCACCATGCTATTGTAATATTCCAGATGTTACTAAATCTTACATAATACTTCCCTGAGATAAATGTATACATCAGGTGCCTAAAAGAGAGCTCAGGTTTTCAACTGGCTCAGTCATGTTAATATTGTTATTATTATCCACTCTGTATCTGTGTTTTTCTGGCTAAATAAACTGTTTCAATTCAATTCTGTCTGTCTTTATATTTATCTGTCTCTCCCTACCCATGCAAACTTTTTCACTCGAGACTGGTGTTGTTGCAGTACCCGGAGGCCAAGAAGTCACTGATGGAGCGGGGTCGGCAGCTCTTGATGAAGGACGGACTGCTAGACGAGGAGGGCCTCAAGGCTGCTGAAGTTCAACAGGAGACCATCACAGACAAGATTTCCCGCTTCGGTAGGTCTTAAGATCACCCACATTGATTGGTTCTGAGACAGTATCCCTTGTTTTAGTAGGTGTAAAGACAAGGTCTCCTGCTTCAATAGGTACTGAAACAAGGTCCCATTTTTCAATAAGTTTTGAGACAAGTGCCCTGCTGTAATAAGATTTTAGACAAGGTTTCCTGCTTTGATAACCTTCACACATAAGTCCAACTGCTGCAATAGGTTCTCAGAGAGGGTCATATGCTTCAGCAATCTTTACTTTTGTCGCCTGTAATGCTCATTACTTACTGCCACAATAAACCATAATGTGAACCATTTGTTGCTAACCTTTATACCACCTGTTTTTAAACCTGCAGTGTATTTTTGACATGAATTCTGGGATGTGCTGGTATTCTAGACTGTAAATTACAGTGATTTTGATAACTGTTTAAAGAATCTATTATTGGATAATGAAACCTTCCTCATCACACTTCCACTTTTCTGTATTTGTCAGTCATGTGTGTGTGTGTGAACATACTGTACATCTTAAAAGATTAAAGAAAATTTCTGACAAAACTACAGGGACTCTTATTTGCTCGTTCTCTTTTATGCTTCCAATCCACCATCAGGGTGGAACCACAGAGTTTACAAAATAACCCCTTTCATTCCCCTTCTGTCTGGAACTGGAACAATTTGCCTTCCGCTATACAATATTCACCTCACTTACTCATATACTTGTACAGTATTACTAAGATATCACACTCCCCTCAATGACCTGCAGCTGCTAAAGCACTACATCTACCATATTGTTCTCTCATGCATCAGATAATTTTCATCACATTTTCTTGCTACACAACAATCTCTGATGATTACTGTACTGTACTGAACTTTACTCCCCTAAGCTACATCGATAATTAATTCTTTTGCCAGAGACATCCATCGACACTCTTAATACCCGGCTGGCTCGGCTACTGGCTGAGTACTCAAGTACCCAGCAGAAGGTCAAGCAGAGACTCACCAGGATTGAGCGACGCTATGACTTTGACTCGGACGTGACGAACCCTGCCTCACCCAGGCTCAGTCCTTACTTCTCAGTCTCCCCTAGGTAACTTTTAAGATATTGAAAAGTACCCCTCCCTCCTTTTCAATTACATATTTTAATGGTAAATAATATAGATAAATAACTTAAAATGGGGTTTTGACATTCCTAATCATGTGTGGATAAAGTATTTATATTATTAGTAGAAGAGAATATTTTTTCCTTTTAATGTTTGATGAAGCTAATTAATTAGGTTAAAGGCTTCATTTTGATGAAGATTCATTAAGTTTCAAATTGTGCTCCTGTAAATAGATTAAAATAACACATTGTAAAAATCTGTAATTTGTCACTAAAAGCGAGAATACATTGTACAGCCTCTCATTGTCATCATCCTCATAACACCCATCTAGTCCCTGCTTCCTCACCTTTTCGTCCCGCATCTATGCCACCCTGCCTCTGTGCCTCCTAGCCATTGTGTCACCCAGCTTCTGTGCCATCCCTCCTCTTTGCCACCTAATTCCTCTACTTCTATGCCACCCTTTCTACTTTCATGCAACCTCCCCATGCCACCATCACTTTACCCCCATGACCTCAGCACCCTTTATCATCTGTAATGCTCCTCACAGCTAAAACTTTCCTTAAAGGCCACTACAATAATCTAACTTTGTCTCATCCAGGGGCAGTTTGTGCCCATCACCATTCCCGCTTGGGGCTGCACCTTCATCTCGTCGGCGGGACACCTTTTCTGTTGCCTCTGGTCCCCCTCCCACCGTTGAGGAGAGCCATGCCAATGTCTCCTCCATATCCACCCCTCAGGATACCATCAACCCCACCCAAAACTCAACCCCCAGTGTGCCACCTGCGCCCAGTGATACCACAGGGGGTAGCAACGACAATAGTCATCCAACTACACAGCAGTGCTCGTCCCTCCTTTTGCCTACACCCACCATTATTGTGCCTCCGTCACCTATGCGCAGGGACACTATCTAACAGTACCAATAACTTATTGTACATAATTTATCACGTAATACAACATCTGGAGATTTATATGCATATTTCTGAAATGCATGAAGTTATTGTACTACAGGTAATAGCTTTAATTTCACACTACAGTACAGTACTGTACATTAAATTGCTATTATCCTTAAGGACACTGTCTTGTTTTATATATAATTACTGTGCTATTGGTAGTTTAATTGTATCCAGATATGTTGTGCAGTCCCTCATTTAATAGTTTAATTTCAACAAAAGCTGGGGTGAGCAGTTCTCATGGTATTTTATTACTTTTAGATAATGTACACATAAATGTTAAATGCATTATGTGCAAGGGAAAACTCTTCTCCATGTTTTGGCTAAAAACCAGAACTGAAATGTACCCTAATATGGGATTTTATCTTCCAGTGCTCTTGTAATTAGGTGATTATAGGCTACTCTAATGAAATATAATAACACATTATTACCTCATTTCAGCAGTACCTCATAGTGAGATCAGGCTAGTACACCCACCTAGAACTACATTAGATTTAATTTTATGATAAAGGTAAAGGAATTTGCAGAATAATCTATATAACCATTAAGTAGTTAAACAAACAATATGTATAGACAAAATATTCATTTATAGTGAGATTCATCTGTCTGTAGGTCATATATTACAGTGATGTGTTTAGCCACAGCAAAGAGTCTTGTTACACCTCCCTAGTGTTATGTTCTGGAACCCTTGATGAATAATTGGGGAAATATAACAGCAAAGCTTCAAGGCTCGAGTCTGCATGGGAAACTTTACCCAAATTGTTCATCATGGATTTCAGAACATATGGCACGGTAAGTGTAACGTGACTTTTTTTTGGCTTTCATCCGAATACTTCAGAAAATGACATTCACTCTAAAATCTGCAAAGTGATAGAGGAAATTGTTTTAATCCTCAGACTGTGGTGACTCGATGTATCTTACCTTTTATATACGAACAGCTTTACAGACTCCATTAGTCGATGACCACATCTAACATTTGTGAGTGCTCTCTTTCCATCCTATCTTTCAACTCCGTTCAAACTTCCTGTAATTATCTCTTATAACTTTTGATATACTGTACTTTATCATCTCCAGCATATTTTTATATCACTTCTATTCTGGTTCCCCATCACCTGTCTAAATATTTCACACCTTGAATTAATTATATTCCTACCTGCCCATAATACTGCAGTCTCTCAAAGTGAGGGTAGTCTCTTGTTAGTGGATCTCCTGCTTACACTCCACACTTCCCACAATAGTAATTCACACCGTAAATGGAAGAAAAATTTAATCCGGTTGGCTTGTGCTTATTACAAATTTTACTTTAATGATAATTATAAAGACTAGATGAAAGCACACGTACACATTGCTAAAGGTGGTCGAGAAAATTGAACAGGGCCAACGTGTATTTTATTCAACCCAATTAATACTAACGGTAATTTACTGACTCTGAACATGTAGTCTTACAATCAATCAGTTTTTAATTACAGTGTATGGGCTTAGATAATAACAAGTTAAACATAAAAACAGAACTACTGTATTTAGATAAATTCAATGTGAACATTCCCTGGTTCATGAGTACAGGTACAGTTTGTATTTTAAAAGTAATATCTCTATAAGCTGGAATCCCTCTTAGCCAGAACTCTCCAAAAGCCAGAATTGAAATTTGTTCAGAATTTTTCCTGAAAATTCCAGGTTTGGGAACGATTTTGCGAGGTTGAAAATCAGGCGCTTTTTCTGGAAAATTCAGAGAAAAATTCTGGAACTCTACATTTTATTTCCGGGTCTGGGAGCAAATTCCGAGGATGAAATGATGTGTAATTCTGGAAAATTTTGAGATAATTCCAGAAACTATCCACTTTTTTTCTGGGTCTTGGAGAAAATTCCGAGGATGAAATAATGTGCCATTCTGGGAAACTCCAGAAACGCCCCCCAATTTTTTTTTCAAGGTCTGGGAGCAAATTTCGAAGATGAAATAATGCACAATTTCTGGAAAAATTCTGGGAATGGGGTATTTTTTCCAGGTTTGAGAGAGCCATCTCATTATCTGGAAATGTCTCATTCCTGAAAGTGCTCTGTACCAATTGTTCCGGCTAACGGGGATATCATCGTAGTTTGATTAGTGACAAATTTTAATTAAAAACAAAATACTAAAGTAATATTTCTGCTAGCTGGTATCTTCAAACCTTGGAACTCTCATACCCAGAATATTTTTCTTATCATTCCGAGAAATTCCGAGAAAAAATCTCCATTCCAGGCATTCGAACGAATTTCCGAGTGATTGCTTCATGTTTCTGATTCGGGGACGTGTGCCAGGCACATGGGTAGGTAGACTCAAAGTGCTTGTGAGCTACAAATGTCCATTATACTGTCATGTGACTGCATTGGATGCCTATGATTGGCTGATGTATCTTGTAGCCTATCTCCTCAAGCTCTAGCATCATGACAGTCTTAGTTCAGTGTCTGCTGCCATTGCACAATCTTGTTTGCTCGCTCACTCTGTTTTTGCATACATTCTCTGTTGTGCAGTACGTACTATACATTACTATACTGTACCAACATATAATCGGCTAAGAATACTGTTAAAGCAGTGGTAAAGCAGCGTTAAGATGTAGAAAGTGATTACAGTTATGTATACTGTACTGTACATTCAGTAAGTGTGAAAGTACCATGCGTAATGTACTGTGCATAATAGAGTGAACGGTATGTGCTATTGTGTAGAGGGTGTATGTATACAGTGAGTGTACAATCCCTCCTTCATGGAGGGAGAGGAGATTGAAAGTTTGCAACACCTGCTACAGGAGATGGTACAGCACAAAGGCAGGCCATCCTGTATCATATCACCATTTGACCTGCCTGCATCACAAGATCAAGACAACACCATTTGCTGGTGAGTACAATACAGTATACTGTACTAGTGTATACAGTCGTATATTTTGTTTATTTACAATATATTATACGTGTACTGTAGTGTTTGCATATATAAATACAGCTCTGAGTCTGTCCAACTCCAGCCCGATGAGGAAACATTTGCCAGTCCTGGGAAATTTTCTGGGGATGAGAAATTTTGTCGAAGTACTGTACCCGGAAATCTCTCAAACCCCGAACCGCTCTGCCCCAATTATTCTGGCTAAGGGGAGATTACTGTACAGACCTAAAACAGTTCAATACATGAAAGATTAAGAAGAATGTCTTCTGTATTAACTATTTTTTGTATAGAAATCAAAATACTGTACTGTACTCCAATAAATCTCTGGCCGAGTGAAAAAAGGGCCATTGTCAAAAAATTTTCAGGAGAGGCAAAATATAATTTCAAATCCTATTAAAAAATCAGCCTTTAGGTACATGTATACAAGGCAAATGCAAGATGAAAGTGCAAATCGGAAGTGCCATTAGAGTGACTTTGGCTCTTTTTGTATTAAGGTGACCTGAAGTTTTGCAACCAATACTCTATAACAGTACGTAATTAAGTTCTTGGATGTTGTAAGTGTTCATAATGTAGGGTAGGAAGTGGACACAGAAATTTTATTTTAATTTATTCAAACAAAAATACTGTACTGTATATAAAACCAAACTTATAATGGCATGGATACTGTATTTGCCATAAGCAGCTTCAAAAGCATTGCAGTTTCTGAAACTTGTAATCTAACATAAAACACGATTTACTATACTCACAGGAGTATTTTACTGAATTTATTACAAAAACATGATAACCCAAGAATCCTAAACAACACTTGTTAAAATAATACTAATGCTAATTATCATTTTCAAGTAAAAATTGGTAGGAACATGATAAAATACAAAATAACCTGTGATATTTCAATACTAACAAGCTTCCATTAGCTACTAGACATCTTAGATTTCCATCTCCTGTGATTCATCTTCATGATCATCATCATTCCCCAACTTGTCCCTCTTTAAGGCTTTGTAGAAGAGTTGGTTGCCTTCTGAGATATAAGGAAGGATATCCTTTGTGAACCAGTTAACCCTGCTTAGCCCTTCCTTTGTTGTTAAGATTGTACTCTTCTTGTTCCTCCCAAAAGTAAAGCTTGGTATAACACTGGCCCAAAACACCTTGCCTGCTCACAAAACCATTGAAGATAGAGATTTTCTCTCCTTGCACTAAAAAGTACTTCATTTAAGGTATTGTTTCATGGGTTAAAGTCAAAATTGGCATTTTTGGACTTTGGCTCCTTTTGCACTCGGCCAGAGAAATTATCTTATACAGTGGTTCTTAACTTGGTGGACGTTTCAATTTCTGACGAAGAATATATTTTCCCACTGAAATAAATTCATAATTAAAAAATTGGCATGGCAGCGTAAACTTGCGATTCAATAATCTCAGTCTTAAATTCATGTGTTATTGCCAGAGATGTCATGCTATTCCAGGGGTCCCCCACTAGGATAATATAACATTTTCAGAGGTAAAGAATTAATAGAAAAACTAACATAAAATATGGAAATTTAGATGCAAAAACAATGCTGGTGTTTGAATGTGTATCAGAGCTACAGTTCTGTTTGACTAAGCTGGGACAATGTTACCATAGCTTGGTGGTTCCCAATTTATTTTAAGCACTTCCAGAATAGCTACAGATATATACGGTGGTCGGTCAATCCAACCCGTCAACTTGACCTTCGTCAACTTCAACCCCTGTCAACTCAAATCTGTTTACTTATTTGGATCTGGAAAGGCAATAAAGATGATGTACTAGCTGGAACTTGAAAACTGTGTTTTTAGGCCCTAATGAGATTGGGGGGCACCATGGATTCAAGGCTGATTATAGGAGATTGCAGCTCCAAAAGCTTGAGAACCACTGATTTATTGCTTCCTGAATTAATTTTAAAGGACATTTTATTCAATCATGCTACATTAAGCAGTGTTGCAACATATTTTGTTACACAAATTTATCAAGATTGTTCTAGCCGAGGAAATGCAACAAAACTAGGAATCTAGGATAAAACTATATTATACTTGGAAATATTGTACGTATATTTGCATTTTTCTAAGACCGGGAAACCCTAAGATATACCTGAATAAAATATGTTTCAGGTGAAAGCATAATGAAGTTACTTATAGATAATATGGAGGCAATGATGTACTACTTCTGTTTACTTACTCTACATTGTGAAATTACTTGTTCATCAGAGATATTGTAGAATCAAAGATGATAATTGTATTTTTTCAGAAACCAACGCACAAAGCAAAAGTGTATTCTGAAGTATTTAGATTATTTAAAGTATACATGTCAGTAATTTAGATGATAAATTATTTCATACTTGTCAAAAACTTTGAGATTGTGTGATCTTCATGTCAATATCCTTAATCCTCTGGTTGCAAAAATTTACCCTTAGTTGAATAAAATTAGCTGATTTTAACCAGAATAAAATCCTTAAAGTTTTTCATAGCACTCAGAGGGTTAATGGCCATAAGTAGATGACACTAGATTTGTGTTACTGTATTGTATATTCACGTAATTCAAATTTTTCTGTTTGGGAAAATTAATAATTTGTGCCAGACTCTTGTTTTGTTTGATCATCTTCAGTTTTACATTTATTTGTTGATTCACAGTCACAGGATCTGTTATGCTGAGAGCTACATTACCAGTGTACTGTGTTTTTATCTATATATTTATATTACGGTACATTGTCCTCTCTGGAACCTGACAGATGGCCTTAAGTAAATTTTTCTCAAAACATTATAGGCATTGGTCATCTCCACCCATTCTTTTATTTAAGACTGAGCCAATACTTGTTCGCCTCTCAGTTTATGTAAATAACCACTAATTCATTTGTCACCATTAAGTGTAACTATAGTATTGGTCATTCATTCATTCATATTAAAGGGAACTGATTACAGTATTTATTTTTCTTCTTACTCAGTCAGAATAGTAAAAAAAGCTTCATTAAATTTTTGGGCAATGAATATCTACTTGCCTCACTGTCATTGGATAATAGAGTTGGAGTGAATGTAATGTTGTTTTCTTAAGAATTTAATGCTATGACAATGTTATTAATAATAATTTTTCTAACAACATATCTATTCCATTGTTCTATCTGAGACCATATAAGGTTGAATAGGTGCACCAAGTGTCACTAATGGTATAAAACTTCAAGTTGAAGGGGAGGAATTGTTGATGTGTACAGTAGCAGTGAAGTGTTGAGATATATTTGCTAGCACTGTACAGGTAACAGGTGTAAAGCTGTGGTAAGGTAATTGTTTTAGTTATATAGTGCTCTTGCTTGAAGTAGTAATAACACTGGTAAGAATATCAGTTTATTGAAATGGGTAACTATGGTATTTTAGCAAAAGCTTAATTGTTGTACATTTCTGGCAAAAGTTGTAGCTTAGCAGCAGAAAACTGTAGTATAATAGCTTAAAGGTAGAGTATGATGGCATGGGTTACTAGAGCTATGCCCATCCCCTAGTCGCTGCTGCATTTTCTAGGTTGGCATCTTGGGTTTGCGGTGGAGAGCAATGAGGGGAGGGGACATCCTGTTCTGGTTTAAAGGCCCGTCCACACGATCGAGCAGTGCCCGGCGGGCACGCGCTAAATGCCCATTATCAGGCAAAATTGACGGGCAAACCAGCGGATTGCCCGTGCCCGTCGTTGAGCGAATCATGGTCCGCCTGCTGCCAGATATGGAGCGACGACTCTGCCAGACAAACGATAAAACCGGAAAACCGACATCCTTATATATTGTCATTAATATTCAACATTACACAAGCCTGCAATACAAGACACGTGTTATTATTGTAACCTCACGTGACTGTCAAAAAGAGCTAATCACTACGCCACCGCTGACCTCGGGGGTCAGGATCCTCATGTTGGTGAGGTATGAACAGAGATACTGACATAACGTATGCTAGCACTTCGTAAAACCTGAGTTAAGTACTGCAAATGTGATACATATATGTTCCCCGCTCGGTCCAGATGTCCAGTGTATAACCAAATAAGCTTATGCAATGTACATTATTGGCATATGACAATAAATGGGAGATTGTTTATGTATTATGTAATGAGGGCATTCGTGTGTGTTCTTCGTTCCTGCCGCTCTCCTCACTCTAGTCCCATAGCTTCCTGTCTATGCATATCATAATTCTAACATTATTCAATGAATTTTCATGTACTACAAATCTCACCTGCAAGTAATCTTCCTTGAGTACTTCATACATGGCTTTACAAGTTTCAGGGATTATGCGAGACAAACTTTGTTTTGATATCCTCGTTCTATACTGAAGTGACGCGTAGGTGCACCCAGTTGAAAGATATATGAGCATTGCCTCTAGACGAGCCTCTGCAGATATACTCTCCCTCATATTGGTATCCTGTTTTTTTATGCAGTATATGGTTCCACTTTTGCTAGAAGTTTGTAAAAGGTGTTGGGGTCCATTCTCATGTAATTGGTGAAGTCTTGCTCGTGTCCATCTTCGACCTAACCACTCTTTGCACCATTCCCTTTTCTGCATTTGGTTCTTCTTTTTGCACATAGCAGCAATTATCATGGTACACAACGCTATGCTCTTCGCTTTAAATGTCCGGCGATTATTCCTGCGACACACTATGGTGATCGTACCGCACCCGCCACTGCCGACCACCTACTAGCTACCGGAGCCCGACTATGACTGCAACCAACCACCCGTGTGTACAACAACACACAGAGTTTGCCCGGTAAACGGGCAAAGCCCGCCGGGCACTGCTCGACCGTGTAGACGGGGCTTTACCCAACAGCTGCCATCAGGCAATCCCAGCTAACCCACACAAGTGTGGAAAATGACCATAAAAAGCTGCTGCTGCTGATGATGATTCATTGCATATGGGAGTACTATTAATGATGTGAGACTAATTTCAAACCCTGCCTCTTCCATAGGTTAATAGAAAATAGCCTTTATTTAGCCTATTTCCCCCCAAAATAGTCCCCCTCCTCTCAGATTGGTTGACCTTATTAAGATGAAATTGTAATACTATAATACCTGTATACGTAGTTACAAATATTACCAATTCACTTTTGAAAACTATATTAGCTTGAAGGCTTTCACATTGCTACATTCAAGCTGACACTATTTTTATTTAAATTATTAAGTCAGTACGATTATGATTATTGCTACTTTATCAAGAAGTGATTCAGCCGCTTTGGTGTTGGAAGGACTTTTAATGACCTTATTATTAATTGTATCATTGTTAGTCAAAGCTACAAATACTGTACTATAATAATTTTATTTTACGTATTACTGTACAACTCACTGTGATAAATTCAGGTTTCAAATCCCACAAATAAATAATGAAATTCTTATATTTGTTTGTGATTAATGCTGCTATTCTAATTCACCAGAAGATGTTTGATACAAAGTTTATAAAGTCTGGGACATATCCCATGAAATTAATTCCTTTTAGTTACATGGTGCACTTTTTCTATATCAGATGAGATGGATATCAGAAGATGGTTGAAGAAGGGGGTGTAGGAGATGATGTAACCGGTGTTCTGGGTACAGAGAGACAGCCTACATCATCCAAGGGAAAATGAGCATTACTACCCTTACCACACTAATCTGGCCCGTAGGCCCCACCCCTCTTCTAAACTAATAGCTGATTGGTTCATAGAAAATTCAAACTAAATGTGTTCACAATTAGTAAGCAGACCTGTTATTATCTAAAATAAGAACTGTAATGTTAAATATATGGATTATCAAAATGCAAATTATTTCAAGGCATTAGCACTTCAGAGTGCTAAATATTTATTACAAAAAGGTCGATGTAAATACTCACACTCCGGGGAGAGATAAAGCTCTCAGGGGACCAATCAGCTATTTGTAGCTATAGACGAGGGGCGGGGCTTATGGGCCAGCTTAGCATGGAAATACTATAGTATAATGAGTGGAAAATGGGATAAGATAAAGAGAGTAAGATAAAAGGAAAAATGAAGACCTAGAATCTCTGCTATTATGACCACTCCCTTAAAGGCGAGCTTCACAGGGAAATAACATATTAGAGATTCCATTCATATGACAACCTTACTGCAGACCATTTATGTTATGAATAATCAGGATATAAATTGACTCCCACTTGGATCATTACAATTTTGACTACCAGTGACTAAATCTTGCGATTTAACAGAGTATTAGATGGATTGAAATTAGAATGTCCTTAGGTTTAACTTGTTCCATAGAATGCCACTTTATGGAAACATTTTTCTTGTTCTAAGAAAGCTAAACAGATCCTGATTTAGAGATGATTTTGTTATACAGTATTTTAGACAGTGAGTAAAACTTTGCTGATTAGTAAAATTTACATTTCATGTATTGTTAACCATTTTATAAGTACTGTAAGTATCACTGTATTTATATTTACATTTTACATGGAATTCCATCATGCCTTTCAAAGTGTACTGTAGAAGTTAAGATAAACTTAGGTTTGGAAGATTAACTTCATAAAAAGTATGACTTACCAAGTTAATAATAATTATACACACTGTAATTATATTACACTAAATAGGGGTAATTGCAACATACCAATAACGTCTATGTACAAGTGTATGTACAAATTTTTTTTTGAAACTCAAACAGGCCATAGACGATCATGAAGATAATCATAATACATAATAGTTAGGTACAAAAGTGTATCTACCATACATTAAGTACAGCATATATAATAATTTGGACATCTTTTAATGGCAAATGACGTCTTAAATGAAAGAAAAAAATTACCATATGCAACAAGAAAAAATTCCCCTTTTGACAAAAGTCATTTACTTTTGCTTTTTAATGCTGAATCAGTGATTATATATATATATATATATATTTATATATATATATATATATATATATATATATATATATATATATATATATATATATATATATACTGATATATATATATATATATATATATATATATATATATATATATATATATATATATATATATATATATAATATATATTTATATATATATATATATATATATATATAATATATATATTTATATATATATACAGTATATATATATATATATATATATATATATATATATATAATATATATATATATATATATATATATATATATATATATATATATATATATATATATATATTTATATATATATATATATATATATATATATATACATACATACATATATATATATTTACATACATATATTATTATATATATATATATATATATATATATATATATATATATATTTCATGTAGATCCACAATGAAAATGTGGATAAGATAAATTTGATAAAATCACACGGGAAAAGGGAAACAACGGAGCACCTTAGCCTTTTCCCAGTGTGATTTATCAATATATATATATATATATATATATATATATATATATATATATATATATGTATATATATATATATATATATATATATGTATATATATATATATATATATATATATATATATATATATATATATATATATATATATATATATATATATATATATATATATATATATATATATATATATATATATATATATATATATGTATATATATATATATATATAATATATATATATATATGTATATATATCCACATTGGAAACGTGGACAAGATAAGTCTCGATAAAATCACACAGGAAAGGGGAAACAATGGAGCCTCTGAAGATGTCTTGAATAAAGATGAATGCTAAGGTGCTCCATTATTTTCCTTTTCCTGTGTGATATACAGTATATACAGGTAGTGTAAAGAGTTGAGTATGTTATTGGTAAAAGTTGTGCCCTTGTAGCACAATATCATACGGTACAATCATGATGTCGCTAGTGTCAGCTAATAATATAAACTCTGTGCATTTCTTATTAAACACTGAGATTCCGTCCGTATTAAAATTGTGAATGAATTTTGGGATATTATTTTCCTCATCTATTAAAACTTTGCCTTGAGGTACACCAGGTAGACTATTTGGCCGTATAATACATACAGTTGAATCTGGATTTATGCGGTTTTTGTTTACGCATTTGGTCATTTACGCGGTGCCTTGCCAGAATGAAATGCTTTAATTACGCGGTAAATTTGGTCATTTACACGGGTGAAGTATAATTTGTTTATTTACTGAAGATATTTGTTTTAGCTCATAATATTCATACAAATTACCAGGCCAGAATATAATTTACATTGCTCGAGTTCTTATAAGAGTGTGATTATCTTAAATATAAACATCGTGGAATTTGCATTAGACATACAAATTTTAGATCTAATGTAAGAATTTTCGGATCATATGAAGATCTTCCCCCCCAAAGTATCCAACTGAAGATCCTATCCCCCCAGGCTAGACCATATGAAGATCCCCCTCCAGCCAGGCCTGGGGGCAGGCCTGGCCAGGCCAGGCCAGGCCAGGCCTGGCCAGGCCAGGCCAGGCCCGGCCAGGCCTGGCTGAGGCCAGGCCAGGCCTGGCCAGGCCAGGCCAGGCCAGGCCAGGCCTGGGCCAGGCCAGGCCAGCCAGGCCAGGCCAGGCCTGGGCCAGGCCTGGCCAGGCCAGGCCTGGCCAGGCCAGGCCAGGCCAGGCCTGGCCAGGCCAGGCCTGGCCTGGCCTGCCAGTTGTGGCCAGGCCAGGCCTGCCAGGCCAGGCCTGCCAGGCTAGGCTCTGGCTCAGGCCAGGCCAGGCCAGGCCTGGCTAGGCCAGGCTTGCCAGGCCAGGCCTGGTTGTGTTGTTAGGGGTGGACTCAGATGAGCGACTGGGCTTGATCATATGAAGATCCTCCCTCAGGTTAACATATGAAGATCCTCCCCAAGTAGGTTTGGGGGAGGATCTTCATATGATCCATTTTGCGAAGTAGATTATCATAGAAAACGGAAATTTGTATCATAAAAATGGGAAATATCTACTTTCCGAAATTGAGTTATCTACTTCCCGAAAGTAGATAGATTTTCTACTTTTCGAAAGTAGATTATCGATTTTTCGGGGAAGTAGATTTTCGAATTTTGGGGAAATATTACCTAATTTTGCGAAGTAGATTGGCAAGAAAACGGGA